TGCCTATCGCGTGCCGCGTCGCGTCGGCCCCGGTTCGCGCGTTCGCCAGCCCCGTTGCCGCCACTGCACCCCCCCCCGGTTCCGCTTTCCCATCCAGTTCTGAAAAACCATACCGTATTCAGTCCTCAGGTTATAGTTTTGCACTTTGTGTGAGTTTACGTTGCAGCAGACTGAACTATTGGATATTAATTATGTTTTCTGGGTAAATAGAAAATATTGACTTTCCTGTAAGTCCATATTTACACACACACATAATATACATACCAAGTTTACTGTGTGCTAGCAGAAATGCCCGACATTTCCACGTATTTATTACGTCATTGATTTACAATAGATATGTATAGGCAGCTCAAAGGACATTTGAGTGAAAGACAATTTTCCATCGACACCCAGATGCAGACAGTTGTTCTTAGCTGGCTTCAGGGCACCAACGGTGTCATTTTGTATTGTTTTTTTTAATGAACTAATAAATTATAATATCAATCTTTTGTCAGATTATTTTCCGTTTTTGAAAATACTGACATTCCCCTTTAAGCAAGCTCAAAAAAACACCCCAGATATGAAAATCAATTTTAGTCAGTAACATGCTTATTGACATGTTACACGAGTAATTGTTAGTCAGAATATAGTGTCATGAAGTCACAAACCAAAAGTGAATGAATTATTATTTCGCAAATGACAATGGCTGTTGCTTGCAATGCGTTTTCATTTACATTTTGACACATTATGCAAATCTAAATATTGCATATTTATTATATAACTTTTATTTGATTACATTTAATGTGTTTCTTGTCGTTCCTTAAACAAATTGCAGGTTAACGAGATGTTTCCAGCACGTAATAAACGTCGTAATGTAGCTAATCAGTTGCTCTAATGACTTCTCTCTTTCAACTCTCAAAAATTTTCTGTTTGCATGTCGCAGCGCTATGAACGATCCTAGTATGGATTTTCTTTCTGGCTTATTTCAATGGCTCCCGGGACTCTAACGTCACTTTATATTGTTTTAAACAATGTTTTACTGTCAGATAAATAGTTTTACGGAAGACTTTTGTATTAGATATTCGAATCTTACCCATATCAACTTCTGTTGTTAAATGATAATTTTGAGATTCTGGGCGTGTCAACTGCTATGGTCATTAGTCCCGTAAGTGTCTTGCGTGGCGTACCACGGAAGGCGGCAGAAATCCTGCTCTACAAGAACGGGAGACCCAGCTCATACCTATACCCCGACTAATGGTGGTGTCCACAACCTGTCATCTCTATTGTCGAAGTACCACCCCAGCAACTCTAAAGTCCCGACGTATAGGCGATATGTTGGTCGTGAAGTGCACGTAACTCTTAAATCTATGTGTGTGTGAGGGAAGAGTAGGGGACACGGAAGTAGGGGGAATATGCGGGTCTGGGACCAGGAAGTTGATAAGATGAGATAAGATAAGAGCATCTCCACGTCACCGGCCCACGCCGTCAGCTCCTATGACGTCATGGGCCGCTGAGGACCATGCGGGTCTGGGACCAGGAAGTTGATAAGATAAGATAAGCTTCTCTTATCAACTTCCTGGTCCCAGACCCGCATATTCCCCCTACTCACGGATGGAAAGAATGAGGAAGGAAAGATTCCACGCGGCCAGTGTTTTAATCCTGCTTCGGAATTCTCTAGGTTTTGTTTGAAAACAAAATACGGATAACTACTGATGAGGAGCCAGATCGCTAGAATTCTTTCATGACAGTGAGCAGCTGCATTCGACTTAGCTATTTAGCAAGTGTCGAAAATACGTCACCGTCAAGATGCGCACCTCGTGTTTAAAGACACACACACACACACTCAACTCAATACAAAGTATTTTCGCGGAAAAGAGCAATTGCTTTGAAATTTTGGAAGCACAGCTTTGAACAGCCTAGAATTGCGAACATTTTCGTCCTTGGCAAGGAAAGCAAAAATGTTCGCTATCCTAAAATATTGTCCGGCTTACACTAAAAAGTCTGTTCGTAGAAATGGTACACATGCGACATTGTTGTCGGGGGAAGAACGGGGTCAATTGGCGCGGGTGAGACAGGTTGGATGGAAACGGAAGAGCGGAAGGGGGAAGCGGAAGAAGGCAGGAGGGCCAGGCAGACGGAGTGCGAAAGTCAGAAAGGGCTGACCAAGGCCCTATAATTCCCGTATAACATGGTGGGGACCATTACAGTGGCGCGCTCTAGAGCATCACCTTCTTACACGAACTAAAATACGAACTGCTACCAACGTTATTTAAAACGTGCATGGGTTCTCGGGACGCAAACATACGCGCTTGATACAAAAGACCGCGCCGCTGTTCGCGCTACTTTTTACTTTCATGCGTGTATTATTATGAATAAATGAATTTTATAAGATAAACACATAGTATTTAACTTCTTTTGCAATTTATTTAAGATATCGCTTCTAATCAAAGTGTATTCGTATTTCTTGACCAATTTTTATGAGCGAAAGTGGGCGATCCTATAGTAGCAACCTCTAGCTTTGTCCTCAATTTTGATGGAGAGTTGCTGGGCCCTGAAGCTGACCAGACAGGAAAGGCTCCCTGGAAGATGACTGTGATAAACAAATGCTCGGCTAACTGCGGTAGCAGGTTTGTTAAATAAATAAAATTGACGTTTTTCGCCGGCACAAACACCGCTAGGAAAGATGAGATGAGCGGCGGGGGTAAATGTGGCGGAATAACCGAGAAACAAACTGGAGAAAGCCAAGGATGAATATCTAGAGAACGTGTGGGAATGACGCGGGCGAACGTCCTGTGTAACATATTGGTGAGATGCGAGGTCATGAGGGGATACATACGGGCATTATACTGGGAATTTGCGCGAAAAATCTGTGTTAACATGTGTAAAAATACTCGAAACCTATGGAGAATGCGAGAGGAATACGTTGCAAATATTCGAGAAATATGTAGGGGATCGTATTTTGTGTACTCTATGTGAAAAGAAAACAACAGTCGTTAAATTTGTACTATTTTTTCTGGTTTTTATATCCAAAATACATCCCTAAACCAAAAATATTATATTATTTGCAAGCATGGCAATATATTTGGTTTATATTGTTCGATTTACATAAATAAAATTACATTATTTTAACTAGTATAAATTAGCAATATAATGAAGAACAGATTATTGTAGGAATAACATAAAGAAGAATGTCAGTATGAGTGCTACTCATCTCCACTTGGTTTCTATTGTAAAAAAGTGCGATTTCAAAAAGTTAATCAATGCAAATCCACTCCTAACGTGATCTATTTCTTCTTCATTGGAAATTACATTGATTCAAATCCAGCCTCTATTAACCAGTCTTATCTCTAACGTATCTGAATATGACGTACATTATAAATAGTACAAAGACCAAGTCCACAATTTTCATGTAATAGAAAACATTACCAACATTTTACGTTGTAACAAGCATTTATAAAATATTTATAATAACTTTTCGTTTTAACGTTCATTTTAGGATCAATCTGAATAAGCGTTTCAAATGCAATCAACTTCCTTTAACTATTTATTAGTTATAAATAAATACTTATAGAATAGAATTTAAGATTCTCTTTTATTATTCGGGTATTCCATGTGATAAGTGAGACAAAGTAAAACATTTTTATGATATCATACTCACTGCACGTTTCTGTTACTCATTGAGCAAATCAATAGTTTTTAACATGTAATTTAATGATTTGTCATAAAAAATACAGTTCACCCCGTTGGTTTACTATAATTTTGGTACCATTAACTTAAATATATGTAAACAAAAATGAAATGTACTAGATTAACTAATACTTCATACATTTATAACAAATTAAAGTAACGTCACCTAGAAGAATGCATGTTTATACATACTAAAATTATTCGTTGTGATATTTTAAGAAAATCTTACATCAGCTTTTCAGTTGTGTAGAGCCGTTAACAAAGTAATTATCATGCCGTTTCTTTTCAAAAGGAAATGTTTATCGTCGAACTTCAATTCCTTTCCCTGCATTGAGACTCTGCCATTAATCCCTCTCAAGTTCTTTGCTATTAACGCCCCTCAAAATCATCTCCGAAACAGTTTCCAGAGTCTCGGCGTAGACAATTTTATTAAAATACCGCGAAATAAATCCATATCAAATAAATCAATCTGCCTTTGGCAGGTGGCCGTTATTCGCACACAGAAGAGTTGACGTCACGCGATACGGATAAATGATTCTATTTATATTTTTTTTCATTTCGACTTTTTAAATTGCGCGGAAACCGGGATGCGAACCGGGTGCCGCAGAGAGCTATCGCGGCTTCGCTGGCCGCCCATCAGTCATGGTGGCGGAGCCGGTGGCAGGCAGGACGGCAGGAATTTATGCTAATCCATTTCGAGGTTGGAATCAATCCAATGAAATCTAGAGCGGCGCCGGCGCCGGGGCACAGAGCCTATAGTACCGGCGAACATTTTACCGGAAATGAGAGATCGTCGGAAATTGAAGCGATGTCACACTGTCACTGGGTGGTGCAGTGTGAGGGGACGTCAGCCAAAGGAGAGCTTGGATTGGGGGGAGGGATATATGAGGCGGAAAAGAGTTGAAACAGAAGTCCTGTCTTAATTGCGTAATGATTACTTCTAGTTGTGGCGATGTCGCTATGGAAGGATAGCGCACCTAGTGTTTTAAGTAGGCGGAGGAAAGAGTTGAGAATGTGAAGAGATATAAAGGTATAAGAGATAACTGATTTGGCAAGAAGATGTCTAGGAAAAGAGGATTGAAATTGGTTCAATTAACTCAATGTAAAATTGTCAGTGTTGCTTTGGTAATTTCAGAATGATTAGAAGAAAACAAAACATAATATAGTATATATTATTCAAGAAACTAATTGAAAAGTAAACTTTTTCGAGAAAATACGTAATGTGCAAATAATATATTTATATTTGAATATACCGCGGTTGGAGGAATGAATTGGTAAATAATTACCATAGCAATGGCGTAACCCGCTAATAACTTAATCTTTCTGCTCTTTCGTCTTGCACCTTCGGGGCCGAATTGACATCTCACCATTTCAATATCAATTTGTTTGTTGTGTTCTATTTTTCATATCATTCCTTCACTTTCACTGGATGTTCCACCATACCATCAAATAACATAAAAGATTGGTAGATGAGATACAAAAATTCAACTTCCTTTGTCAAATAATTTGGAAATGACAAGAGGTAGTCCTACTTCCTACAAATAAACTACAGAAGAGCATGAAAGTCAATCATACTCCTACTTGTTTGAAAATTAGAAACGTTGGGAAGTTTTAAATGGAAATGTGGATTTTGAGAAATCCAATAACCACACAAACCACATACCTTGATGTTTCCAGTGACAAGGGATGCGAACTTTTTGTTTTGCTTCGACGTCACAATCTTGATTAAACCACAAGCGACCACCGTACAGCAAGAAGATAACATCTCGAAATATGAGATTTAATGTGTTGTTGGTTTCGCGCACAAATGGGAGATGAAGCAATCATGTCTTTCAATCAGTTCTCTGGATTGTAAATTTGTCTTGTTTCATTTTACTCATTTGCTATATTGTGCTTTCTCCTACATTGTACGATGGGTGACTAAACAAATGGTTGTGAGCGGCTTATCGAAAACTTTCTTTCTCTTAGTGATACTACACTACAATAATACAGAATTTAAAAAAAGATGCATGGCATCATTTAAAGGTTTATAATTGAATGAAGTTATTCAGATAACATCCGAATTCTAAGTATCTAAATTATAAAACTGGCTTGGAAAGTTGAATCATGTGTTAAAATTTGGAACTGCAAAGATACACACCGTAAAAATGTTTGTGGGAGGTAGCTGTAGAAAATTTATAAAACTTCTACATATTTCCTACATGAAAAAACATTGCTTAATGTCGTAAAGTATGAAGTCTCGAAAAGTAATGAAGTAAGGGAGGTTTACACATTCTTTACATTTTCACACTACAATGTCTCGCTTGAAACAGATTTTTAACACTAATGCGATCTGATAATATGTAATGACTTATTTTTCACGTGATAAACGCATTATTTTGCGTTGGTGATATTTGTTTAATAGCTAATTGATATTGTATCCAGACAACCAAAAACTACATCTACTGAAAAAATGTTGCCTCTCTTCGTTGTTCCCGGATCTCCAGTGAGCTGATATAATGACCCTCCATGTTTCTACCCGTCACTGCTTGTGACTGCTCGTAGCGGTGACAGCTGACCAACCTGCAACCAACTGCAGTGTGTATGGAAACCTTAATGCAATTACCTATGCCACTCACCTGTGTTACATAGCCGATCGCCTCCGATGACCACAAAATTAGGCTGACAACCCATATCCTCACTGAATCCAGATTCCCAGAATCCTAATCCTTATTTTAATAATTTACCACTTGGTACAGTCACTTATCTCTCTCAAAAGAAATACCTTTATATATTATAAGCCTTAATATTTTCCACAATTCTACAATATAGACGTTCAATAAAAACGCCCACTTCGAATATTTTATGAACAGTTCAAGATATTAAGATAAACTATTCAGGACATGAGGCTCATCAGTTGTAGTTATTAGGTTTCTTCTTTCTTGCTGCTATTCTTTTATGCTGCTATATTATTCATGAAACACCAACATATGTGCTATTGATGATTTGGTCTTTTCAAGAACATTTGAAGTTCAATTACAAAAGTGAATTTAATCTAATATCTTTAAAAAGGAAAAAATATCATAAAGCTAATAAATTCAAATGATCAATCCATATGTCCTGAATTGTTTTGTGAATATTTTATCTCAAAATCATCAACCGTACAAAAATATTCGAGATGGAACTGTTTATTGACTAACTCTGTATAATGATTCACTTTTTGACACTTGGTGGCACTGTACTCTAAGTACTCGTTGCGATTGTGAAGGGATTTTCACAACATTTGCTATAGAAAAATCTGAGAGAGTTGTTCGAATTTACTTCACCACTTCGACCAGCGATCTTCAATGTCACTCCCTCCCCATCTGTGGTGACCCGCAAAAGTTAATAGTAAACAAAGGCTGCGGCTAGCTCCTGCAGGAGCACGCGAGGGTTGAGGCGCCGCGCCGCCAGGGCCGGAGCCTTATCTTTTTTGAATTTGCCTTATTTTACGTGGCGAGACTCGGGCCATCAGGCCCGCTCTTCCGTCTGACCACGCAAATTTCGCTACGCTCCTTTCATATAGCAGAGAAAGAAGGTATTTCTTGGGCGAGAAACAGGCGATTTGAATTTAGCTCAGAGGCGTCATTTAGGCTTGAGGATCTTTTACATGCAAGTAAATCTACGAACATGGGACAGCCGGCTTTACTTCCCCTCCGAAGGAAGGCGTACGAAGGATTTTTTCGCCCTTAAAAATCCACGGCTTCGATCGGGTATGAACCCGCCAACTTGGGTACAACAGTCCGGTACGCTAACCATTACACCATCGCCGCCGCTTCGGCGCCCACGGCACGAAGACCGCTGAATTATTTCGAGTGTAAAGATGCGGGTTGGCAGACTGACGCGATACGGGCCAGTGCCGAGGAAATCTCTGCGGTTAGCGAGGAAGTTCTCAGTTTTATTTCTTCAATCGACATTAATAAGCTAATTCACCATTCCTGAGCAGGAGTAGTGAATGGTGTGTAATATTAATGTGCAAATAAATTAATAACGAATTCATAAATAAATGAAAGGATGAACGAAAAACAAACAACTGAACTAAATAATGGTCAAAACAAATGTGTGAAATAAGGAAAAATAAACGAACAAATAAACAATAAAAACATCAGTTGTTAAAGAATATATAATATTAGCGTTAATAATAATCTAATGGCGAAATTAGAAGTAAAAAGAGGAAAGTCACGCACACTTGTCACACACCTTTTTACGTCACACATTCCAACGCAATTTCGAGATCCATAAATGCAAAGCCATCGCTATTCCCTTATTCTACGCGGAGGGCATTTTTATCCATTATTCTAAGGTTGTTTTATTTTATGTTGTATAATAAAAGATTTTTGGGAAATGTTGGGGAGGTACTGATCATTATATGAATCCTTGGCTGATAAGATAACTGAGGAACCTTCCAATAATTGCTCCACATATTGCGTATAAATCATTAAAAACATATGTGTGTTAGACTTACAAGATTAATTGTTTTGACCAATTACTATAATCAATAAATTTTCAAATCAATTCATCAACGTACTGTAAAAGCACTAGCAATTAGGTCCAATCTTTGAACTGTACGTATTGCTAATTCTGTTTTCAATCAACTGTCAACAAATGCGTAGTGGAACGGATAATTCGTCCTTATGTAGTGCCACAAAATTATTCCTATTCCATATACATTAACATAGAAACTGGTCAGCAATGGTTCTAGAAAATAGATGACGAGATTTTCACCACAGTCAAAACATTCAATTCAAAGTTCATTTATTTACATATTTATATTTTATTTGTAATGTACCACGTTTATTCAGTTTATTCTCATCATAAAAGGTGCTATATAAAGTAAGTATTACAAATTTTAAACTCAGCAATGCGTAAAAAAATTCATGTATAAATCAGTTGCATATTCTGCACCTTAGCCATGCTAGAGCACCTACGCCAGGAGGAAACCAAGTAAGGGATCTCATTCGCTACGGTATTAATTAAAAAAGTGTTCAAAATTTAGATAATCTATTAAATTTACTCTAGCATGGAACATTTCTTTTATTTCGGTGCAAGAGCGAACAGCGGTAAAAGAAACGACACTAGTATTTTGTTCGCGGGAAATCGGTACAGTTTTATTTTAGTTTCGTTTGTTTGTTGTGGTTATCACAAAAATACCCTGTGATTCAGTAAATTTCAATTGGTGTTAAATCAGCCTTTCTCATATTGTAGTCATAACAGTTATGTTTACTCACGCCACTAAAAAATCCAGCTGCTTGCGCGCTGACTTTGCACTCCGTTAACCCACCCCTCTGGGCGTGGTGTCCTTGAAAACACTTGTTCACTGCTAGGTTTTGTTAAAATATTTGCGCGTTCTTCTGAAAGTTCCCGCCCCCACAGGTGACATTGAGACCGTGTCTAGCCGCGCGCCAGGCCACCTACAGTTTTGTTTATCAGGAGGCCTTTCCATGGCCATCCAAACGGCGCGCCCCTCCACCAGATTATACCTTCCTCGAGCGCATCTCGGTCGCCACACCATCGAGGCGTGGGAGGGACGCTTTTTCCTTTATCGTTTATATATGATTATCGTTAGAATCATCGGGCTTTATTAGGTTCATCTCAGTGTTTGACACGATTCAAAACAATAGATTCGATCAGATATTCGCAACACCTATGCGAACTATTAAGTGCTCTAGGCTGGCCTTTGCGCCTTGCCTGGCGTAAGGTATCTTCACGCCGCAGTGGCATTAATTAGAGCTAGAGGCTTCCCATCTCGCAGCTAATTAAGTCTACAAGCTGCCCATCAGCGTTTGCCACACTGGCACGTCTTCAGTCGCACGTTTGCGGCGAGACAGTAAAACTCACGCCTGGTCATCGTGTCCGGGGCTGAACATTCGCTCAGATGGTGCTGTATTATGTATGATGTGCATCACACCCACATAGCCGCAAGGTGTCGGTTCGGTGCAGCGTTCGGTGCAACGTCTCCATATAACTTGTTTCTGCCTCCGAGGGGGCCAAGACAATTAAGTCATTTGAATTCAAGATTTTCACATCCAATAAACTTTGGTTAATTACATTAAATGTTCAGTTTAATTCATTAAGGTATAACTTTTCAGTCACTTTTGATTATTTAATTTTATGAACTACAATTTGTTGATTTTGTACGCTACAAATTTTAAGATATATGATTATGATTTATATTTATATTTCATCACTAGGGCTCGACATTCAATTTGTAAATGTAAAATAAGATATATTATTGTCCATTAATTGTTTATCGTTTAGAACATCAATTTTAATCGTTAATTTCAAGTATTCCAAGAGGTACTATCATTCCCTTTTTTATTTCATTTATTAAATTAGTGTTAAGCCAACTCACTCTCAATATATCTTGGCCGATACTTCCATGATTTCCTCGTATGCGGTTGTTCTCCTACCCTTTTTTTAGTAGCCTTCTTGACTACATCGCCGAGCTACCGTAAAGCTATGTGTATGGGTGCAGTCTGTGTATGAAGCCATCAGGAGGTTCACGCTGAGTGACTTGTCTTCCTGCGTGTCTCCGTGTGAGAGGTAAGTTCAAACAGGCAAGCATCGCATTGACACACGCTCACACGTACGCTTACGTATAGAGGCTTATGTTACTGTTTCTTAAGTTCGGGTAGGACCGAAGACAAAGAAAGAATTTACAGTTGAAAGCAAGCTCTATTGTAAGCCCTAACTGAACAGCAGCACAATTCGTATTCGTAAGCTTCCGCGGCTCGAATCCATGAATTCTCGTCTATCCGGGAGACGCCGCGTCGTTGGCTGGGGTACCGACGTTTCGCCTGACATGTCGCAGGCTTCCTCAGGGCAGTGACGAAGGGTAGAGGCACAGCAGTGACATCAGTTGATACCCTAAGTCATCTAAGCCGATGGATGTTAGTGGTATTAGGCAAAAAAAGACTGGCCGATCCTGGTTATCGTCACAAAAAGACAAAGGAGAGATTGAGAAAAGGGAGAGTCAAAATAGTGGGTTGATTTGCTCAAATCCCAAACAAAAACTTCAAAAAGGCGAACGAAATGTAATATATTTCAGCAGCAATTTGTAATGTTTGCGGGTGGGATCATATTTTGCGTTAGTTTCGAGTATAACCTAAGAGAAAAATTCCATCACAGTTTCTTACTCAGGCAATTCCACTCTATTAATACACACGATCCACTAGTTATTTTTCTAATACCGCTGCCTGGGAAGAATCTCCGTCTCGTACTTGCTTCTTCCCGAGGCTTCCAAGCGCAGCATGCAGATCGTATTCACATCACATCGCTGAGCCCCCGCCTTCGCCACACCCCTCTCCCCTCGGGACCCCTCGACTCCCACCACCCTTCCCCTTCCCCAGGCCACGAAACCCTAAATCTCCCCTACCCTGTCATTCCTACTGTCAGCGCCACATCTGCTCCCCTACCGCTCCTCTCGCACAGCCTCTCCCCCGTCTCTCCTCGTTCTTCGCAGAACCCATAGATCAGGTTGCACCGACACCCTTCATAATGCCTTCGCGCTCTCTTATTTTGTCATTTCTCGTTTTGATAGTACCACTTTATTATCTCAAGTTGTTAAGATATTGTCAGCCGGGTTGGTACTGCAGACCTCTCATTTTCATTTCCTTACTTTCCTTTGTAGCTTCTATAAAATGTTCGTCAATTACGTACATGTGTATCTGTGACGCAGTTCTACAAATGATTCGTGATATGGCTTGTAATCATATGCTATCATGAAATTATGATAATTATGTTAATGATATTGATGAAAATAAATATTAAGATGAAATTGTAATGTGTGAAAAATTAAGAATACTTTACAAACTGGAATGAAATTGTGGACCTAAAATAACGGAATAACAACGAGTTTCAAACAACACGTTTATTCATACGTCAACTTCATCTTCGCCAACTTTTCACCATCAATCTACAGATTATTTGCACACGAACCTGACATCATAACGCTTCCCGCTATTTCCGTGTGCCCTGTTCCACGTCACCGCATCTGTTTTCGCCACAATTACTCCCTATTCCATTCTTTCCCTGTGCTTATATTTTTGCGATTACGCGCGTGTCTCATTACCGCATTTGTCTTTTACATTGGTATGTGCGTGATCGTTAACCAGTGTTTGTATGATTGTATATCATGATAGTGGTGATGTCGCAAATGAGGCAGTGAATGAAAGAGTACGAAAACATTTCGACGAACGGGAATCGAATAAAAGTGGTCGATTTACGAACAACGCACCACAACGCGTTTATCGACCGTGCCAACTCGCTCCTCCCCTCCTCATTCGCGCATACTATTATCCATTATTTTCCCACCCACCCCTTCACTCCTAACTCCCCAACGGTCCCCAGCCATTTCCCAGCTTCCGTTCCACGCCGTCACATCCACCTCCGCATCCTTTGCCGTCGTGTTCCGCTCAGCCCCACCCACTCCAGCCCGCCCCCGCCCTGCGTCGCCCAGGCGCTCCTTGTGCATTATGGATGCGGCATTATTGCGGACGCATATCGCCTTTATTTAATTTTGGTGCCGCGAGCGGCGCCGGGAGAGGAAGGGAGGGGTTGCCGAAGTGCAATTAGGCCTTCCCCCAATCCGATGCTCCTCCCTCCCCCCTTCCACCCTCCCTGTCCTCCACGCGTTGGAGGCCTCCACTGCTTCCTACAGGCCCCGCACAAGACGCTCGCTCCCGTAAATTGGAGTCGCGTTTATTAGCATGCATTCCACGCCTGCTGTGAAAATAGGAGCGCAGAGAAATCAATAAAGTGGGGGAAGGAGCACAACGTATTTGGAAAACTTATGGCGGTGGATTGGAAGTAGTTAATCATACACCATGATAACTGATAGTAGTTTCCTAAATCACACTTTTGGGAAATAGTTTATAATGTCAGTGTCGGCAAAAAGGTCATTTCTAGTATCAATGAAATGCAATTAGAAATAGCACGGCTAAATGACTCATAGTTTTCAGTTGTAGTTTAAAGATGTGTTTCTACCTAGAGACAAATAAACTTATAACGATTTCTGTCTCAGTTCAAACATACAATATATTGTTAAACACATTGTTGTTGCAAGAGTCATAATGGAAGATTTTAAGTAAAAATTTTAGATCATGAAATACTGAACGCCAATGATTCGCTGTAGATCAAATTCACAAAATCCAATGATACTTGAAGATAAGAATTTATTACAAGAGACAAGTTACATGTTTACGACATTATCATTACTGTTACATATCGTTGAATCACGTGGAAAATAATTCCAAGTTTGGACAACAAGAAATGGTACTACTATTTTTAGGGTATTAAACAATGTAATAGTTACAATACAATCAATCTAGGTTGGATGCGCAGTCTCTCAAGCCGCCATCCATTTGTTCAAGGGCCTGACAGTTCCATTTAAGCGGTGTTTGTTTGCAACTTGGAAGGCGTATTATATAATTGCCCCTACACAAGATATTTACTCCAGGTAAGCGGGAATAGCGGTTGTTGGACGTACTTGCAAACTGCCCGCGCTCTGAATTGTCCAAAGCGTCTACCTGAGGGCGAGTGCCCGAAGCAGGGCGTCGTGAGGAATGGCAGAGCTTCCCCGAGGGAAAGGGGAAGGTAAGGGTGGGGTAAAGGAGGTCGACATTGGGGGTGGTTGCGGGCACCAGGTAAACGGTGTTGACTAGACGGCGCGAGTGGTGGGGATGACGGGTGGCGGTGGGGTGTGGGGGTGGCCAAAGGGCGCGAGACACGGAAGAGTGGGGAGGCGGGGTGGGGAGGGGGAAAATTGCAACGCTGCGTTGAACAGACGCGGGTTGGCCAACCCTTCCTACAACGTGTTTAGCGGACTGTTAACACTCACGCAAAGTTGTACCGAGCCAAGCCCCCCAGCCAATTTTCATGGGGCCAGCTTCCGGCTCGCAACAATGAGGGCCAAGTTGCCGGAACAATAGCGCAACGCCGGGCCGCCCGAGGCTCCCCTTCCCCTCACCCCCTCCTCCTCTTGACCCGCCCCACTCCTCCCCGTCCTCGCCATGCCCTTTCCGCCCCGCCCCTGCGCCGCCTGGAAATCCTTGAGCTCGTTTCTGGTCTCGCCCCAAGGATGCGTTTCTCAAGATTTCTAAGGGACGAATATACCACCCACCAATCTCCAAAATTGTTCTGCAAGCACACTATGAGTTCTCCAGTGTGGTACTACATTTTATGAATTATTTTCTATTTATCAAAAAAAAGTAAATTTTCAAAAACAAACATCTTTAGTAATTTGTATCATCATACTAAAAATGTCAGTTTTGTTGATGTTCTACATAATTTACTGTTTACTAAGCATTTCATCCCATTAAATAATAACTTCAGCGTTTTTCAACTTTCAAGTTTGTGTTTGGAGATATTTTTATATCACTATTGCACGTATGGCATTAAATATGATTGTTACTATTGTATTAATTTCAAAATTCAATTATCACTAGCAAGCAAAACGAATATCAAAAAAGGAGAGAGACTCTGGAGAAAGAGGCATAGACCGCAAGTACAAATTGAGTGCAGCAGAAGATCAATTTTGGTCTTGTAAACATCAGGTTAAGCGGGATATTACAAAATGTTGACTTCACCTCTCTGGAAGCAATGCGCAGAGATGTAATAAATTATGTGCTCAAACTGGCATACGTAAGCCTGAGTTAGTTAAAAAAAAGCAGCAGATATCTGGGACGTATTGGTGGTGTGTCGAAGTGGCCGAAATTATACGTAGGAAGAAGATTCTCAATGACAGTTGGCTGATGGCCTAAGATCTAGAAATCATAAATGCCTATACAGAAATACGCGGCCGCGAGAATTCTTTTCGTGAGAACGGCTGTCTTTGTTTTGACTTTATGGGTCGAGAATTCTGCCACCGTTAGGTCTTAAATTCTAGGACCTCTCGGTCACAGGCACTGCAGTGAAATCCATGTGACACTTCTGCCCACTTCGTACCAAATATTTTACATGACAACACACACTCCAATGTGTTTGGTGAATCTCGACTGTTTCTCGACTTGGATGTTCCCGGCCTCGTACGGAAAAACGTGCCATTAGGACGTCGTAGGGGCTAGGAAGTAATGCAATGAATTCGTGAGAATTCTGATTCTTGAGTTCATTTACGGGATTTGTTACTGTTTCAATATTTTATTAGGGTTTAACATGAAAGTATCGTAGTTCCTCTCAAACAAAGAAATGTTTTACTCGTGTCTGAAGAGAATCTTTTGACAGTGCCATAAACTGTTTCTTTTTCATTGATAAACAAATAAATTTCATTGTAATTTTGTATACAAATGATTTTGAATTACTGGAACTTGTAAAATTAACTCATTGTTTTTTAAAAGAATTGAAACCGTCGAAGAAAAACATCAATGTAAAATGTTTAAAGAAAGTAGATTGCTAACCTAGTTATAGAAATATTCAGTTTAGCTAAATTAATATTTACGATATCAGCAACAACACCAAACATAGAAATGAGTTTATCTTCTTCAAAAATTATATACAATTAACAACACAAAAAGGAAAGCGGATTTGCAACATTTTCCTTGAACCAATTTAGAAATTGAAGCCATATAGAATCTTAATTTATGCCATTAACAAACTTGCTTTACACATGATCATTGTTTTGTTTGCGTTGTCTACATTGAAAAGTTGCACAATATCTAGTTTATTAAAGGCTGGCTAAGGTTACGAAAGTCGCGAAAAGTACCAATGCGACAGAGGGTTCTCAGCACTGATTAGCTAATGTGTTACCGCTAGATAATGAATGCTAATCCAGATGCCACACGTGTGCATCACCTGTGTAATTCCAGATCACGTGTCGCTCCACTTGGTTTTTACACTGCGAGCGGAGAGCTTCGCTACACGTTGGCGATGACAGTTCGAGTCTTGTTTGAAATGGCAGCAACTGATCAGAAAACTCTAGAACCATTTCGATTTTTCGAACGGAAGGAAGCACCTCTTGCAGAACAAGAAATAATCGGAATGATAACGAAATACTTATCACATTTTAAATTAGTACTTCTTTCTACGTATGTATCCGTTTGAATTAATTTTAAATTTGACATCAAAACCACACGTTTTAAAAACAATGTCATGTTCAATATGGTCTTCAGGGAGAACAGGAGATTTATGAAAAATGTATGAAAATGAGTATGGTTTTGGGGTTTGAACAGATCACCCTATGATACTGCGATCTGCCTCCGTCACAATAGAGTGATGTAAATCGAGTTCTGTCCATTGACCACTGACAAATATAACGATGGCCAAGCACAAATGACAAGCTTCGCAACTGGTAATGGAATGATTGAAGCAACAACATGAATAGCAATTGTACTGAACTACACATTGTGATTTGAATTTTTATGAACCTGCTCTCTATATTACTTTCATTGCAGATCTGCAGGTCAAAATAATCCTATTTATAGGCAGCCGCATTTCTAATTTTCAAAGACTCCACAATGTTTGTAGTTTTACTCATCATTCCTCTACGAATAATAGGAGTTTGGTGTTGGAATTCTGAAACTCAAGAAAACGAGCGATGATTATTCATGACCCATATGTTAAATACAGTTTTTGCTGATTTTGGACGAAAATAAATTCAAACCTAAATCTACTATTATGGTAAAATAATTCAGATATATTCTATAAGTAAGCAAAGGAATAGAAAACAAGTAAGAAAACATTAAATTATATAAATCTTCCTCTTAGTTTGAATTCATAAAACAAATGAGTTTTGTTTGGATACTGTATGAAATGATTTTCTCTTACATTTTGAATGTATTTGCGAACAAATATTTGTACCATTTGCAATATTTGTATTTGTATTTGCACTCGTTTGTTGATATAATGTTGTTGGTGTAGGTTTCCCTTCATGAGGTCATCCTGAAGTCGAACGTCTGTTTAATATCTGAGGCGCTACACGATTTTGGGTGCTAACATGATATTTGCACAGTTTTGCGCATTGGTGAAAACATACAAATTTTATTTCAAAAATTATATTTCCGTGTTCAACTACATATCACATATTGAATTTCAGAATATTATATATCAAAAACTCGAGTTTTAAGTTGCGTGTTTTATGTCAAAATGCAATAATAACTTAATGTTTGAAGATATATAAAATTTTATTTTAAAAATAATTAGAAGTGGCTGCGATAGCTTTTTCTTCTGCTCATGTTACACGACAATGAAAAATACCATTGTATAAAATATTTGCGTAGAATAATTGATCACACTCAAAGGCCATGCCTGTCGCTTGCCTGTGCACATGCGTATCATTGGCGAGCAGGCACAAGTTTTTCTCATTACTGAAATAATTATATGCGTCGTCATTGCCAACAATATTATTTATTTAAAAAGCGGCTTTCGATGACGATGCATATAATCATTTCATTAGAAATGCCAACGATAACTCACCACAATACCTATATCTCATTACTGAAGCCTAATGCACGTCATTCCATCTCTCAGCTAACCCTCATA